TAAACCATTTATAGAAAATATGATATTCTAGTAAATCGTAGATTAGATTTCTTAATTACCTTTTTTCTTATAATACTGGTGTCATACATTTAATGAATACTAGATTATGCTTACTACAAAATCATAGCAATTATATTAGTTTTTAATTAAACACCGTAATGCATTTGAAGTTTATTGTATAATTTCACTAAGTAAATTTAAATTATTTCTTCGAACTTGGAGGGAGAAAATAATGCAGGTTTAAATTTAAAATAATAGCATTTTAAGCACATTAAAGAATGTGCTTAAAATGCTATTATTTTGCATAATATTGTTATTATTGTAACTAGCGCATTTTAAAGAACTAGTAGCATAATTTAAAGGGTTAGATCCTAAAGTAAAGTGTGGAAATATTATTACTAAGTTTACCAGTAACTTATATTTTAGCACAGAAGAATGTATCTACGTTGGTACAGTCTGTTACTTAAAATAGGCATTTCAAGACAATTGCCAGCTTCTTTACCCATTTGCAGCTGTAAATTTGTGTCATCATCACTGAACAGCATTTTCTTCACGTGGATGTGAAGCTGATTTAGATCTATGTTTCAAAATTAATTACTTAGAATTCTGGAAAAAGAATTCACTTTTAATTTGAATTTGTTTAGAAATGAAATAATTGTTTAAAATTACATCTGAATAACTAATAAGGTTGGTTTCCCTTCAATTAATTAAATGCATATTTAATAAAGAGAAACGTAATTCAGATGTCGAGCAACAAAAATCAGCGTTATATTTACAACATTTTCATAGGACTACTTTCGATGGTTTTATCGAACCACCATCCTCAGCTGCAAAACCGCAAATGAACAAGATAGGAAATAATGATTAGATAAGATAAGAAAGCTTGGACAAGAATAAGCAAGTGGCGCCATCTGTTGGTGAAACCAGAACTAAAACATAATTTCTTTAAAGGCCGAAGGCAAATTTCGATTGGAATTAGGATCGTTAACTAGAACAGAAAGATTTTTATGAATGTCAAATGCCTCTCGAAAATCCAGTTCTCCAATGGAAGATGTTTTTTGAATAATTTTGGCAGCAGAAAAATTGAAAGTGTGATTTTCGGACCAACAATGTTGCGCAACAGAAGACTTCTGTGTTTCCTTTTTTCTAACATATGCCTCATGTTCCTTGACGCGAAATTTTAAGGCTCTCTTAGTTTGGCCAATGTAAATTAAACCACACTGGCAAGGAATCCTACAAATACCCCAGGAATTCATATCCGGAATGAGGTCCTTGAGTATGGAACTCGAAATTTTATTGATGGGAGAATAAACAATTAAAGTTAAATTTCTGCAAAATATGTTTGTTTATTCTCCCATCAATAAAATTCCGAGTTCCATACTCAAGGACCCCATTCCGGATATGAATTATAGGATTCCTTGCCAGTGTGGATTAATTTACATTGGCCAAACTAAGAGAGCCTTAAAATTTCGCGTCAAGGAACATGAGGCATATGTTAGAAAAAAGGAAACACAGAAGTCTTCTGTTGCGCAACATTGTTGGTCCGAAAATCACACTTTCAATTTTTCTGCTGCCAAAATTATTCAAAAAACATCTTCCATTGGAGAACTGGATTTTCGAGAGGCATTTGACATTCATAAAAATCTTTCTGTTCTAGTTAACGATCCTAATTCCAATCGAAATTTGCCTTCGGCCTTTAAAGAAATTATGTTTTAGTTCTGGTTTCACCAACAGATGGCGCCACTTGCTTATTCTTGTCCAAGCTTTCTTATCTTATCTAATCATTATTTCCTATCTTGTTCATTTGCGGTTTTGCAGCTGAGGATGGTGGTTCGATAAAACCATCGAAACTAGTCCTGTGAAAATTTTGTAAATATAACGCTGATTTTTGTTGTTTGACTTCTGAAATAGTATTTATTCGGCGTGTTATTGTGTCTTATTAAAACAGAAACGTATTTCATAAACAGAAACATATTTCACAACATCAAAATATATAAATTTCAGTTTAGCTTAGAACTGAAACATAATAAATGGAAATAAAATGAGAAAAAAAATAAAGCAAGTTGACTTCTTTTCCTTAGCTGTTGTTGCCGTACTTAAGAGTAATATCGTGTGAGGGGAAATAAATTGAAACTTTCAGTTTTAAAGTAACAGACTATAATACATTAAAGCATTTAAGGTGAGACACATGGACGTGGTTCATCATACAAGAAATACCAAAACATTTTAATTTCATCATTTCAAAATAAAATGATTTTATTTGGTTAATTTTTAAAATAACTGCATTACATTTCAGAGATATCTGATTAAAAATAGCAATGACATTAATTATTACAGCAGTAATTATTATTATTATTATTATTATTATTATTATATCTGAAATAAGGTTTTTAAGAAAGTACAGTTTCTCTAACCAGTAAATGAAAAAATTTCACCCTCTTCCTTTCAGTCACATCTTGGACATGGTCCGTTATATAGAGTTTCAATTACGCAGCCAGGCGGACATTTTGGTGAATCGCAGACTATCTTTGGTTTATCTCCAATCGTTTTTGTAAAAGTTATTCATACTATTATTAAACAAGCATACAATTCATTATAAGTGCCTTAAAATGTAGGAGAAATGTTAGAGGGTAACTTATCACTTTTCTGGCCAGTATCTATTAACTTTTATAAAATGTGAATCCGTATTTTATTAAAGTCTACGAAATCCATTGTGGAAAGCAAAATATTTATCAAAAATGTTATTAGATTCAGTTTCCACAATTAAATTATGAGTAAAATTTTCCTTTTCTCTTAAATGTTATGCTTTTCCATTGCGTATTATTAAATCCATCAAGAAACAAATGAAACTTCTTAGGGTAAGTCTAATGGAATTGAAGTGTTATTTTTTGGAATTTAGCGTGAAATACTATTTTAAATACTATATTAACCGCTAACTTACTCCGTATTTATTACCAATGAAAGAAAATATCACGCAATTTGTTGCGTTTTATAATACGGCTGGATTTTAGTTAAATGCTGAAAACTCCCTGAATTTTATTATTATATACACTTTAAGTCCATTTCAAAACTAAATACTTGCCATCTTTCTTGCATTCGCAGACTGGACATACCATCTCTTTAGACTGATCCTCAGGAATTTCTGAAAAGTAAATGTTTTTCAATTAAATCTGATTTATTTAAAGGATAATGTACTTTAAACCTTTTAAAATAGCCATTAAGTATTCAAAATCCGTTAATTTTTTTCCCAGGACTAATATTTTATATCCTGCCTGATTTATAAAAACAAGCACAACTTTTCAGCCTGCAATATATAAGAATTTTTCAACAAAAGTTTGGATTCAAAGGGGAAGAAAGGCATACAATTACAGAATCGCTACAATGTATCCGTTTGCTCTTCTTTTATAGTCTTAATGTATTTTATTGAATTCTTCGGTTTCTTTACGATGACTGCGAATCCTCAAAGAAAAATAATGCCAGGTGAAGTACTCCTGTGCGTTCAAAGATCTGTGCTAATTTTTTGACTTGAAAGTTCCATTTAGCCTAGTACAGCCTAAATACGTGATAACTTGACATATAGGATTAACTAGTATTTATGAAGATGTTTAACAAGAAAATAAGTTTGCATTTAAGATGGACTCATATGAAGGAGTTTGATATGATAAACATTCTACATAGTACTGATAATTAAATGTTCAGTAGCGTTAAGTAAGGCTATGGAAGTGTATTTGAGCTTAAGACAATTTTAAGAGTAAGTTATACAAATTAATTTTTAAATATTAGTCTGCATATACAAAGCTGGGTATGATTATTCAGAAACATTTTATGAGAAAAAATTTAATTTCTTTTTCTCTATACATCCTAGAATGAAACTCGAGAAGTTTTAGGTAAGTAGCTATTACTTCAGAAAAACATATTCAAAAACAAGACATCAAATAGTTATTTATGATATTTTTGTTAAAATTGAAATTTTATTACCATAAATGTTAAATAATAGAAACGAAATTAGGGCATTTTAATGTTTTTTTAAGTGATTCCCATTTATTTCTCTAGTTGGGAATATTTATATATGTGCATTTGTATAAATCAACTATTCCTCAAAAACAATGGAATGTTTCCTTTATTTCAGTTATTATTCTAGTAAAACTGGCACTGAATGTAATTTCTTTCAATAAAATGTTGCATTATGTTATGTTATATCTTTTTAATTTACCCTAAATAGGCATATATTGTCATTTCTGACTGTTAAATATTTTGATATACAAATCGAAGAAATCAAGGAAAATTAAATTAAAGTTACGATAATTAGTAAAAAATTACTTAATATTTACAGGAAGAACTCTCAGTACGAATGAATCGGAAGTGAAAGAGTATGTATAGCTAAATTTGGGTTTTTGTAAAGAAGGCACACTAGAAAAAGAGAGTATGGAAATTTTCTCCTTAGATATTATGTGACGAAAATTTATTGGCTAGGATAAAAGATGAATTTTTATTCTTGTTAAATAGTAGTGAAATGAAATAATGTAAAACGGTCAATAAAATTCTAATCGTAATTTAATTCCACAATATGAATTTTAAAGTACGCGCTTCAATAAGGAATAAATAAAAACTCCTGTTTTACTTTTATTTTGGAATTCTTTAAAATAGATAATGATCCATCGTGTTTTAGGTAACGAAAATATTGCCTTGGCATGGAGTAGAAAGACTGAGTTTAAATAGATCTAAATTGCATCCTTTTCAGAAAAGTTCCAGGACAATTTTTTTATTCCTGAGTTTTGTAGTTTTAAAAAGGAACAAATGCTGTTTTTATGTTACTTGGTATGTATTAACTGACAATGACCTTGGCCAAGTTTCCGCGCAAACTTACTAGGTGGCAGGGCTGTGCTTAGCAACACAGTGTTCAGATTGTTATCGCATTCGTTAAGATGACACAGTGTGTGCTAATTGTGACCAAAGAGTGAAGCGTTAAGCTCGGGAAAATCCTTAGTGAAACGTGGAACATGATTAAGCAAGCATATGCAGGCGAGGCATGTTCAAGAATTCCTGTTTTAGAATGGCACAAAAGGTTTCATGAAGGCAGAGATTTAGTGCAAGACGATCCTAGAGCTGATACCGAACGTGTAAAGCAGTTATTGCAAGAAGAACGTCGTGTAACTGTGCATATGATATCAAAAGAACTGAATTTAAATCGTGATGTGGGTCATCAGATTTTATGCGAAGATTTACGGAAACACAAACTTAATGCAAGAATCGTCCCTCACTCACTAGCAGATGAAAAGAAAGAAGACAGACGAAGAATTTCTGCTGAACTATTGAATAGAGCCAGACGTAATCCCACATTTGTGTCATAGATTATTGTGATTTTTTCTTGTTTCCGTGAATGAAAAGGTGACTGAAAGGAAAGCGTCATCAAGATTACTGCAGACTTCCAACAGGCTGTGACAAATGAGCTTGCAAGCATCGCAGTTGAAAATTTCTCTGCTTGCTTCCAAGCCTCCAGTTGGCAGTTGTGTATAGATAACCAAGGGGACTAATGTGATAGCAGGAACATTACTTGGTAAATGTAATTTTCTATTTTTTACGACCTTTCTCCTTGAAATTTTCTAGCAAAGGATGTATAATGCAATTTATAACATTCTGTGCACTGTTTCAGTTTCATAATAAAGATTTCGGTTTTTATTTGAATACTTACATATTATATTACATTCTAATATATATAATATGAATAGAATGTAATGTACTTTTGTTACATTATATATGCATCACATACGTAATAAAAGTTTGTTAATGCCAAACTATGTCTATGTCTACAAATTAAATGATATTTACCATCTTTTTTACAATCGCATCCTGGACATGGTCCATCATACACTGTTTCAATCACACGTCCAGGAGGACATTTTGGTGGGTCAGGGTATATCTTGTATTTGACATCAACAGTTTCTAAAAAATTATGCTAATAAAATGAACATATATGTATATACACAAATACTTAAGTTTAAAATTACGGTATTTAATTATTCCTTCATCAGCTAAGTACAATCTCGTGTTAGGGTAAAATACATTTCTTATAATACAATTTACTTAAAAATTAAAGTATTTTCCATTTTTTATATGCGTATTTTGAACACAATCTGTGGAAATCAGTTTCATTTGAGCAGTTAGGAAAACATTTAGGTGCACTTTAGATTAACCAATTTTTCACCAATAGCTTTCGGGAAAATACCTTTTAGCAGAAAAATGCAAACATATCTTAACGGACAAAGGATTAATTCTTAAGTCATCTAAAGCATAATAAAGCACTAAAACCTATAATGAAAATCCCAAAACGATTTTTATTAGATTTAAAGTTTACTAGAAGTTTAATTTTTTTTTTATTCCTGCGAATAAATTTATAAAATATTTTCTTCCTCCTTTCCTCGTGTTTTCGTGGTGTGGCTGGAAACACATTAGGGGCATGGGAAGCATACTAGACACGTTCAATGTAAACACTTGAAAATAATACACCTGTGCATAAATGCATTAGTTACTAAAAGGAAAAGACATACTTGTATTAAATTTACAACTAAAGTCTAAAAATTATTTTTCATTCTTTGTTCTTTTTACTGATTACGCAAAGAACTTTGAAAAACCTTTGTGATTTCGTCAATATACTTAGCACAACATAGTGTCATTTGTGATGTAGAAGTGCAGAATATTTACCATCTTTCTTACAATCATCCTGTACATGGACCTTCATACACTTGCTGTATTTCGCAACCAAGGGAACATTCGACAGCCTCACATATTACTTTTCTTGCTGGATCTTTAGAAATCTCTATAAAAGAAACAGGATTTTAGTTGGACTTTTAGAGACCTCTACGTGTTCCATATGTTAGAAATTTATTTATTTTTACCACCTTTCTTGCAGTCGCATCCCAGAAACCGTCCACTATATACACGTTTCATAAAACAGCCAGGAGGACATCTTGGAGGGTCACATACTAGTTTTTTATACTGACCTTCATTAGTTCCTAAAAGAAAAATAAGCATCATCTTTTTCTCCCAGAATGTTTTGGAATCATGACACATTTGTTAATATATGGAAAAAACTACTCTGAAAAGTCGAGATATTAAACATGATTTAAAATTTTCAAAAGAAATTACTCTTTTATTTTTAGGTATATATGATTAAAATAGGGGCACATGTGTATTATTATAAACATTTTAATCTTGGTTTAATATATTTATAGGACGTTTATTTAAAAAATTATTTCAAAATCTAAGAAAACAAAAGTAAAATGCTAATGATAAACTCTTCTGTTATGAAAAACGTATGATAAATATTACTATTTTAATTTTAAAAATGTATTAAACGTGACAACTTCTGATATTTAAACGAGGAATTTTACGTTTGAGAACTGCTGTATATTTACCATCTTTCTTACAGCTGCATCTAAGACAAGGCCCATTATATATTGCTCGAGCTTTGCAACCAATTGGGCACGTTGGACGATGATAAACAATTTCAAGAGAGAGCTCTTCCATATCTGAAACTGGTAACAATATAATTTATTACTGAGGTCAGTAGAATGCAGTTTCGTAAGGCACTGGAAGAACAATCTTGGAAGTTAAAATATATGAGGTACTAAATTCCGAATTTATAACTAAATTTAAAATGAAAACATAATTTTTTTACCTTTGATAGTGGAGCACAAATAATATCATCTTTTATCTTAGTGGTCGGCTTCAAAATTTTAAATAGCGTACTAATATCACCTCTACTTCGCGTTGTCGAGATGACATATGGCGTAAGACCGTGGTACCTAACGAATAAACGAACGTGGTGCCTAACGAATATAGTAATACTGTCAGTTTGTTCCTTTTAACAGGATCTTGAAGATTGCACTATGAATTACGGAGTAAAACGGGTGTTTTCTAATTTTTATTACATCCGTGACATTTCGTTTAAGCACAGAATAGGTGGCAAATGTTTCAGTAATGTACACCAAGGTCATACTGAGATTTTCATTTGGTTTTAGCTGAAGAATTGAAGACTCAATAAGAAAAGTGTAGCCTGAGCGTAAGCAATTAAAATTTAGAGGAAAGTTAAAAGAAACAGAACTGAGAATTCTTGTATGCAAATTAAAATAAGAACCTACAATAAATAAAACTAAAACAGTTCATAGAATTGAGTATTAAATATAACAATTTAATTTGTATTTTAAAATATGTCAGGAATATAAAAAGAAACAGAACTGAGAATTCTTGTATGCAAATTAAAATAAGAACCTACAATAAATAAAACTAAAACAGTTCATAGAATTGAGTATTAAATATAACAATTTCGATATTTTCTGATGAGTAACTGTTAGCGTTTGTGAAGTTTTCGAAAGACGTTTCAATGTATCTTAGATTACCTTGACAAAGTTCTCTCAAAAAGTTTCTGGTAAAATGTGTTTTATTTGAATATTCCTGACATATTTTAAAATACAAAGGAATAAACCTTGGGTCATCTAAAACTTGACCGAACACTGAAAGCTGTAATGAAAATTACAAACGATTTTTATTAGATTTTTTGTTTTCAAGAGATTTTAAATTGTTTTTAGTACTTACGAATAAATTTACAAAATATTTTCTTCCTCCTTTTCGCGTGCTTTCATGGTGTAACTAGAAACATATTCGTGACACTGGAAGCATATCCGATACGTATTCGGGAGATACTGAATTGGAATCCCGGTGAGGACATTGCAAGTTTTTCCCTCGAATATCAGCACAACCTAAAGACTCGGCAAAGTAATCAGATATAAACACTTGAAAAGAATACAGCTATGCATAAGTTTAATGATAAGAACATATTTATACTAAATATGCAGCTAAGGTCTAAAAACTAATTTGTGTTCTTTCTTACTTTTACTGATTACGCAACAAATAATTTAAGAAAAGCACGTTATTGCGTTAATTTGCAAAGGAAATGATAGAAGCATCTGTGCTGTGGAATTCTGGAGTACTTACCATCTTCCTTGCAATCACATCCTGGACAAGGACCTTCATACACTTGCTGTATTTGGCAACCAAGGGGACATTCGAGAGCCTCACATATTACTTTTCTTGATGGATCTTCAGAAACTCCTATAAAAGTAACAGGATTTTATAAAAGTAACAGGTAGACTTTTATAGATCTGTACTTGTTGCATATGTTATTAATTTATTTATTTTTACCACCTTTCTTGCAGTCGCATCCTAGACACGGTCCACCATATACAAAATCGAGAAAGCAATCCGGAGGACATCTTGGACTGTCACATATTACTTTTCTAAACCGATCGTCATTAGTTTCTAAAACAAAAGTAGAAGTATCATATTTTTCTCTGAAAATGTTTTGGAATCATCACATATTTATTAATATACGGAAAAAACTATTTTGGAAAGTCGAGACATTAAACTGAATTTAAAATTTTAAAAATAATTTACTCTTTAATTTTTAGGTATGTATGATTAAACTAAGGGCACATATTTATTATTATAAAATTTTTAATCTTGATTTAATACATTTCTAGGCCATTTATTTTTTAAAATTGTTTCAAAATCTAAGAAACAAAAACAAAAAACAACAAAAAAAATTTCTTGTGATAAACTTTTCCGTTATGAAAGGCTCATGATAAATATTACTGTTTTAATTTTAAAAAAAAATGTATTAATAGTGAAGTGATGATTTTTAAACGAGGAATTTTACTTTTGAGAACCTGCTGTATATTTACCATCTTTCTTACAGCTGCATCTAAGACAAGGCCCATTGTACCTTGCTTGAGCTTTACAACCAATTGGGCACACTGGAGGATCACAGACAATTTCAAGAGGGAACTCTTCCATATCTGGAACTAGTAACAATATAAGTTATTATTAAGGTTCGTAGGTGGATAATTTTAAGGCACTGGAAGGTTAATTTTTAAGGCACTGGAAGGATAATCTTGGAAAATTAAAATATATGAGGTACTCAATTCTGAATTAATAACTAAATTTAAAATGAATATATATATTATTTTTGTCTTTGATAGTGGATTACAAATAAGCTCATCCTTTAGTAATCGGCCTCAAAAGTTAAAGTAGCGTACTATATAAGCTCTATTATCTATGCTTGAAATTTCAATAAATCAAAACTGAATAGCTGTTATTTTATGTTAAGAAAGACTAAATTTAATGTTTATAAACCATGCTGAAAGTGCTTCATTGAAACAAATGAAGATGAGGTTTGAAGAGGATGCTAAGAAAACTTTTTGTTAGACATCGTATACGGAATGAATGCAGAGTTTTTCAAGCAGAACTTCTGTGTATTTATCTTGCTGTCGAAAGAATCAAGGATAATGGGACAGCATCCTCAAGGTACCTTATTTGTTCTGATTCTCGTCCTTCCCTTTACCTTTTGAACAGTATTACCAGATGCAAAACATTTGTTTCCGTAACCCTATTAACTGTCAGTTCGTTTAGAAATAGAGGAATTGATATCCGCTCTGCTTATGTGCTTGCTCATCACGGTTTCTATAAAAATGAAAGGGCTGATTTCTTAACTAAAGATGCCTTAATTTTACCCATTGTTTACACATTAGCATTCCAAAGAGCTATTGGAAATCCTTTCATTATAAGAAGCTTTTAGCTAAGTGGAATGAGGAATATATTTCCTCTTGTAATACTGAGGTCACCAAAAAGTTCTTTCCTTTTATTTATCATAGAGTGCATTCCGAGTGTTTCCTCTCTATTAATTTTAAAGTTTCTCAGTTTTTATCTGGTCACGGTAAATTCGCAAGTTACCCGTTTCGTTTTAATCTAAAATCAAACACTTTATGTGAATGTTCAAAAAGAGTGCCTCAATATGTGGAACACTTGATTTTCTCATGCCCTACATTTGATGGCCCTAGATTATGCTTGCAGAACAATTTGAAAATGTTCGGAGTGGCTTGGCCAGTGAATTTATCTCTTTCGTCCTGACTGCTGTTCTCTGCTTTTGTTCGTTTATTTATGTATGTAACTTTTGGTGCTTTTGTTAACTTTGTAAGGATTATGTTAATTTTATTAACAGTTAAATTTTAAGTTAAAGTTCCTTTCCTGTCAAATTCTTAACTTCAGCTTACTACTTCCGGCCAGAACGTAGTTTTGGAATTTGCTGAATATTTAATGAGAAGGAGCGGTATTTAAACCACGAAGTTACTTACTGAGACAGAGAGAGAAATCTGAACTACGCGCGTCTGCCTTTTTGGCCGCTCTCTCTCTCAAAGCTATTTTACGCTCGGCCGTATTCAGGCCCTTGCTAATCTTCGTAGTAAAATAAGTTAAGGGGCCAACTCTCATTGAACCTTGATAGCTTTGGCTGTACTTAGTTAATCTTAGCTTTAGTTTAATTCTTAGTCTTTTAAGTTCAAGTCCAAAGTGCGGACTTTATTTGTTCACTCCCAGGCGGAGTTTTGTTAAATCTTATAGAAATAATAAAGGGTTATTTACCCTTCTCTCTTGTTGTTTCCTGTCTTCGAACTCTAACGATTATTCGCTTATCAGTTCCTAGGTTCCTTACTTCCACATTAACTTAGAATTTCAAGTGAGGGACCTTACAACTTACTTCTGTAAGCTTAAGCCCCGTGTTGTACATCTGTGGTGCACGGGGAGTCTGTATGCTTAAAAATCTCATCTTGAATCTTAGTAGTCGGCTCAAAATTTTAAATAGCGTACTATATATATAAGCTCTATATCTCGTTACTTCTCGTCGTCGAGATGACATAAGACTGTGGTGCCTAACGGACTAATGTCATCCCGATGGAGGAAAAGCTTCAGGCAGACACACATTTTCAAATTCAAGCGCTGCAGGTTATATATTGTTAAATTATATAAAATATTACATATTGCACAATGTAATAGTCTAACGAAGCACATGCTTCGTTAGACTATTACATTCATTATTCGCAGTAGTGATAATTTCTAGCATTGCGGATTACACACAATTATGTTATATAAAACATTATCTGAAACACAAATTCGTGCTTCTTTAGGCTTTTAAATTATTCACCATGGTTTTTTATGCTACGCTGTTCGTGTAGCATATTACAACATTTAATGTTTGATGGGAGAATACACATGCACACATATATATATGTAAGATATAACAAAATGCCATAGCTGTTTTAAAAAATTATTGGCGGCTTCAAAATTAATATTCTAAATTTGGTGTTCTCCCCCTGAATTCATCTGTTCTACCAAATTCGCGATTTTTTTATGTTACGTAACGTTTTAATGCACATATCTCTTGTCCAATCAAAGTAACTGTAAACCAAAACTTTTTCTAACTCGAACTGAAACTATCGACTCCCTCCCTTCTTCGTCTTAGTTGCAGCGTTCTCTTTCGCTGACGCTTCCCTGCTGTCAAGATGCTGCTTTTCCATGCTTCTGCTTATTTGCTTAAGATAACGTCGTACTTTAAAATGGAACTTATTGTTTTTGAATATAATTAAAAAATATCTTGTCTGCAAAAGAATGATTTTGATCTTACCTTCAGCCAGTACGGTCTTCTCAGCCTTCTACGCAATATCGAAATCTGTTAAAAGTTCCAGTGCTTTCATCTACGCATTTTAAAATCATAACACACACACACACACACACACATATATATATATATATATAAATTGTAGTAAGCTCGCCTAAAAGTTACCAGGAGCTGTGGCTCCAAAAAGTTCAACACACTTTAAAAAACAATGTCATTGAAGGATGAGAAATTATGCTACACGAGAAAAGAAAATAAACACAGTAAAATACTTAGCGTTGGAAACTAGTAATGGCAAAAAATACAGTAAAATACCTATGGATGTGACACTTGAAAAGTTAAAACATATGAAAATCAAACCAAGGAACAAGTTAAAACATAAAACAATCGATGGAACAAGTTTAAAAAAAACATAAAAATTATAAAAGAAATACAAAAATATAAAGCGGAAAATGGTAAATTAGCTGAATTCGACTTCCAATCTGGCTTTTCAAAAGGAAATTTCTGAATTGAACGTCGAATCCAAGCTAACTCCATTACGCGTTTCGCCGAAACAGACAATTGAAACTTTTGCGCTACAAAATTTTTAATTAATTAGACAAAATTGTCTCATGGAAAATTTATTAGTCTCAATTCTCTATTCCAATTTCCCGACGCGTCAGCACAAAATGACACATTAAAGTGTTAAAATATGTAAAAACTATTCCGATTACATCTAAAATCAAGACAAAAATAAAAATAAAAATAAAAATAAATAGCGGTCTGCTATTAGTCCTAAATATACAATAACATACGGGTTGGGCCTGCAAGCTTATATATATATATATGCATATATGTGATGTACCAGCTTTTGTCCGGAATAAATAGATTGGTGAAGAAATATAGATGTAGTCGTAGCTTAAATTATCAGACGATAAGTTTAAAAAACAGGATCCATTTATTATTGGTCAGGAGAAATAGCAGTTACAAAAATCATATTTCCGGAGTAAATAAAAAAGAATTGCTAATAACGTTTTGTATGAAGTTTACTGCATCGTTACATTAAAGAAAAGACCCCGATATTCCTTTGCGAGTATATTTTGGAAAGGCGGAGCTTCCAAGAAATGACGTCAGCCATTCCAGTTCGCTTTAAATATCTCCAGAACATTCTATAACTGTACGTGTAGAAAGAGGCGGGAAAAACAACTTGACTACGGGGCTGTGGATTTAATTCCACGTACTTTCAAATAAGAGACCGTCGCCATTAAAAAATGAAAAGAACATACAGTTAGAATTTTAAGTGTATTCTTGACTATGGAATTTTATTATTACATATATATTACAACAAACAAAAAAGGGGGAAGAAGAAGCAGAAAATATTATGAAAGAGGAAGGGAAAGAACTTGATTTAAATAATATATTAAAAGTAAATAACAGTAAGAATAGTGAGAAAACATATATATATATATATATATATAAGTAGTTGAGAGGTAAGTTCTCAAATAAATTCGCTACAGCTTAGTAGTCAACCAGTATGTATCTATAATGAGCCAAGTTATGAATCTACGATTGTTGCATGTAAGCTCTACTATCTATTCCTTAAATTTCTGTAAATCAAAACCGAATAGCTGTTATTTTAGGTTAAGAAAGACTAACTTTAATGTTTTAAACCATGCTGTAATGCACTTTAATGTTTAAATTAGACTAGCTTTGATGTTTTTAAACCATGCTGTTTCATTGAAACAAATGAAGATTAGGATTGGAGGATGCTGCAAGATTAACTTGAGAAACGAAAGTTTGGGCAAAATTATTTAAAATAAGTTTTCTAGAATTTAAATCAATTAACCAAATTAAAGACATGGGAGCGCATAACCTGAAATATTTAACGATTCGATGAAAGCTGCCGTATATTGTCAGTTATAGGGTTTTTCAACAGTCAATTATTCCTGATTAAGTTGAGAAACAAATATCCAATATCCATAAATGTTGTTCATTATATCAGAATACTAACATTGATTTCATGATGCATGAGCCATATTTTTCTGTCCGTAAAATTTTCATTAGGATTTAAGATCTTAAATATATAAAAGATTTTTGTGATCGATTTCACTGTTATCAGGCAATTTTATATTGCCTGCAAAGAGGATATTGCAATATAATACTTAATTTTAGTATTCAGTTTCACACATATACAAAGCTTGTCTTTTCAGTTTTCATCGAAAACTAACCGAATACGTCCGGCATTTTTAGCAAATTGCACTCAAGTACACAAGTATAGTCTACTTACCATAGCAGCAACTATTTTTTCAATTTTTAAGAATTCGCCTTTAAAATTGGTTTTCATAGAAGTTTAGTCCAAGGCTTTTTC